AGATTGTAATTCTGACTTTTAATGTTAAATTTAAATGATTCTTTTGTAAATAATCTCTTAAATTTCCTTCTGGAGCATAAGTTAAAACTATTGCATAATTTCCATTATCTGGGAATCTAGTCATACCATAGCACCTAATAATTAAATTTAAAATAATTTATTGCCTATTTGAATATAAATCAATTAGTATTATATAATACTACCAACCTCATCAAAAAAGGCTTTTCCTGGGTTACTTGAATCATTTAAACTTTTTAATACTACTTCTTGTTCTCCAAAATAACTAAATTCCTTTTTATTTTCGTCGTAATCAACAATACTTCCTCTTATCCATCCAGCAGTAAAAATCCACCTTCTGTCAACTTTGTTATATCATAAAATTGCTCAAAGGTATCCATTCTAAAATATAGTTTGACAGAGATGATTTCATTTGACATTGTTGAATAAAATCATCAATTATGTTATTTCCAGATGTCCAAGTGGTGAAAAGATTCTGTAATTGTAAACTAATACAACCTTCACAGAACCTATCTAATTCAAAATTATAAATAAACCTTTTCTTACAAAATTCTCAGAAAGCTCCTTGATTTTTTTTTGACTAGTGAAAATAAAAAATCTTTTCTACTTTCTCTGTCAAAATTAACCTGAGAATTGTAAGTATTTCAGTATAAATTTTATATACAAATTTTCTTTCTTCCTTGTGATAACAACAATAATCGTTTAACAAATGGCATTATATAAAAATATAAAATCTAAAATTGACTTGATATTTTAATTAGAAAGGTTGCCGTGTTACACTCCCTGGACAAAAGTTTCGGTCACCACAAAACAATTAATTACGCAAAAACGTACATAATAAAACACAAATAAATTTCATCAAATTGTGACTTAAGTTCTCAAGAATATGTATACAAAATTTCAAATTTTTGTAATGTTTGGGAGAATAACAGTCAAAAAAAAAAATAAAAAGTTCGACCAAAAATCTTCTGAAAAATCGTAGTTTGCCAAAAAAAAAAAAAAAACAGTTTCTCAAAAACTTACATAATAACCACACCTGAAATCGTGACATATGAAAGATTAGATTCTGAAAAATTATGTCATGTTTTTTATACAAATTTTTTTGTAAAAAATCGTTTTGAAATTTTTGAAATTTTTGATAAAATTAAAAAATGTCAAAGGAAAAATCGTCAACAATTGATTGAAACAAAAAAGTAAAAATTTTGAAAAATTGGTCAAGTCAATCTCCTGGTTTGAATCCAATAGAGCATCTGTGGAATCAATTAGAAATTCGTATTCGGAAACCTCCAAATAAATTTAAAAATAATGTTGAACTTGAGACCGCTTTACATGAAGAATGGAATCAAATTCCTAGAAATATTTATATGAATTTGATAGAAAGTATGCCGAGAAGAATAGAAGCTGTTATATCCAATAATGGGCGGCCAACAAAGTGTTGACTTGCATACAAATAAGTAAAATTTCGGGTGTGGTTATTATGTGCGTTTTTTAAATAAAATAAAATCAAAATTTTAGAGATCATTTCCAAAAAATTATTTTTGGTCGAACTTTTTATTTTTTAACTGTTATTCTCCCAAACATTACAAGCATTTGAAATTTTGCATACATATTCTTGAGAACTTTAGTCACAATTTGATAAAATTTATTTGTGTTTTATTATGTACGTTTTTGCGTAATTAATTGTTTTGTGGTGACCGAAACTTTTGTCCAGGGAGTGTATCTTCTAAATTAATAGATTCATCAATCACCATAATTATCACTATCATAATCATGGCCATTATTATAATTGAAATCCAAGTCATCATCATCATCTCCATCTTCATTTTCGTTTTCATTTTCACTCTCATTGTTGATCACTGCTTGATATTCAGAATGATTCGATAATCCTAAGTTGGAATATATTGAAACAAGTTTAAATACATTTTCGTTAGTGAATCGATATTATCAATATAACCAAAATCACTCCAATTATGTTCTGATGCAGGTATATTTTGTTGAAAAATTTTTTTTTTATTATTTTTGTACGATCATGGTATAAAAAGTGTTATAAAAGCAGTAATATATAACAGGTATATAACAGGGTATAAACTACGTAGTTATAAACAGGCCCATTACTAAAGTGAATATTCAGTGAATAACTGATAATCAATATCTCATCTCATGTATATAACTGAATTGAAATGAATTTTCTAATGTCCAATAAATCCTCATTTATAATTAATTAAATTAATTATTTAATTTTCATACATTTAAAATGGAAGAAGAGAATTCAGTCACTATAATAGGAATGAGTAATAATACAGTAATGAGAATTCTGCTACTCATATTTTGAAGAAAAAGGTGGTTCTAAGAAGTCAAGTTGGATATTGAAAGATGATCCATTCTACATAATAAAATAGATCTCCCAGTCTTGTCTAAACACTTGTGTGCCCATTCCAAGTAAGAAAATTAGTTAAGCTGGAAATTCAAAAAGGACAAACTTAATCTACTATGTTTTTTTGATTATAACTTTGATAGAATGTAAAATTAACAATGACAACTTAATGATCAAATGAATATCTGAATATTTTAATTATTCACCAAACGATTGATTGAATTTAATTGATTGAATGAATAGATATAAAAATGAATGGATATTCAGTACGACCTTCGGTGTGCGGATCGTTTATACTCGGGTTAAAAAATTTGAATATTATGTGATTCACATGTTGGATTTTAAAACAACACCATCATTCATTCAAATATTTTCTTTCCATATGCTAGTTGATATTTCATCTTGTTATCATCATCATTTGTTCTTTTGATTCTAGTTAGAATAAAATAAACATAAAATGATAAAACAATATATACATTTGTTGTTAGCACATTGTGAAATTTTAATAAATGGTTTAATGACACATTTGGTAACCCATTACGATATTCTAGAGAAACAGGTGCCTTCCATGTTTTTTCAAGTTTTTTATTTTGTGGTCTATATCATTAGTAAATGAACAATTAGGATTTGTTATATTAATTAAAAATAATGTGACATTTTAGGAAGTTTATAAAGTATTACAATATAACAGCACTCAAAAGTGTTACAAATATTACGAATATTCAAAAGTATTGTTATTATTCGAATATATAGTAATAGGAAAATTAGTAGCGACGTCAACTCCGACCATCCACAATATAGTGTTCCTAACTGAAAATCAAATTTTTACGAATATTCGAAAAACAGTTTATTCAAGGATATTTGAATACACATAATTTATTTCGTAATTATTTTGGATACTTGTATTATTTTGAATATAATCATTTCAAACATTTGTTATGGTTGATAACAAATAGCACTAACTTATCTGTAATTTATCCTACTATAACAAACATTTTTCAAAGATAATATATTTTTACAACAATTAAAAAATATTTGTCTAGAAAACATTTTCATTTAAAAAGTAATTATTTCAAAGTCAAGAAAAAATCAATAAAATAGTTTGTTAGAATTTATACAAATATCTAAAATAATGAGCATCCAAAAATAATTACGAGTATCCAAATAATATTCGAAATTCGTAGTTTTGGATTTACGAATATGGAGTTAGAATTACGGTTAGGAACCCTACCACAATATTAGTTTTAATTGAACGTTTGGAATTCTGTTTATGAAGCTGGACAGTGTTAAAAAATGTTGTTTCTTCGATCCCAACCACAAACTTCTTTGAGAATCAAACAATGTCATTATTAATAAAGTAACTATGTTAATATTTCAAAAAATGCCAAACTCAAGGAACTTGGATGTCGTGACTCATTAAAAACCTTTCTACCGACAAATCTTGAGTTGTCAAGTGTCGGACGGCGATAGCTTTCATAAAATCGATTGGCCTCAGAAAGTATTAGTTCTGACAATAGCAGTTGTTGGAGATAGTTATTTTAAAGGCATGCAAAAAAGTACTCGTCAATGTGAAGCATCTTGCCTGATTTAAAAATGGAAATAACATAGTAGAGAGATATATAAGAAAAACCCCCTATTACTATGAAAACTTTAATTTCTCATCATTAATATATTAAGCTTGGCAATAATTTTATTGTACAGAAAAATTCGTGCAACAAATAACATTTTTAATTTATAATTGTAATTCCACTTTTGTTAAGATGTTTGTGGGGGAATGTTTTTGGTTATTAATTTATTCTATTTTTTTTTTTTTTTTTTGAATACAAAAAATAAACAAATGCTTTGATTTATTATCGATTTTTTTAACAATAAATCATTTATTTTCCAGACATTCAAGATTTGATTTTGAAATAGCATGCAAATAAAAAAAGATAAAAAAGAAAGAATGTTTTATAATTTAATAAAAATATTTTTTTTTTAGTATATAATCACAAAATGCGCGCATTTTATGCAAACACGAATCCGCCAACATCAGGGAATTTCAAATATATTAAAACAAAAATTATTATTTTATGTGGTGTTATTTCATTATGACTCATTTTCAAGTCAAAGCAGTAAGTCCCTTCGATATGTGAAATTCACAGAATACATTTATGACATGGTGCATGCTAAAAGAGTAGTTTTATTTAGAAAAAAACTAACAACAACATAGAAAATCTAGATAATTTTATATATAAAATATTAATTAAATTTCTTTTGGTTAGTAAATTGTGCCCGAAATTTTATAAAAAAAAAATTTCCCATGTTATCTTAGCCTTGCCGATCTGATATGTATATATAAAAAATAATAATTTAATTAAAAATATGCTCGGCGCAAGATTAAATTAGGTTTTGTTTTCCTTCTTCAGCACGGTTACTCAATAAACAATTCAATCAAGATTTTTGCTCGCATATATATAATAATAATATTTTTAAATTTGAATTATTTATTATTTTTTAAATAAATTTTTTAAATATTTATATAAATTTCTGAATTCCCATCATCTAATTAAATAGAATATAAACTGTACATATGAAATTTTCTAAATCGTTCTTTATTATATAAAAAATGGTTTCATCAAGATTATTTTTAATGTTCGCTTTCACCTTTATGATTGGTAGTTAATTATCTATTACTGATTAAATTTCAACCTTTTATATAAATTATAATCTAACGGATACTTTTCTTTCTAAATAACAGCCTTAGCAAAATCCGTTCCGGTTAAAGATAGTCCATCATTCATACTGCCATCAGTTGATTCCAAAGAAATAATTTCAACGATATTTAATACAAACAAAAGATTAATAGTTCCTGTTAAAATATCATATGATGATGTGAATATAAGTACTTCTGTCGTTGTAGTGAATTTAAAAGTAGAGAATAATAAATTAATAATAAATGATGATGTCTCGTTAAAATTAGGAAAAACTTCTGTTCAGGTAATTTTTGCTTCAATTATTATTCACATAATTACAAAAAAATATATTCATTAAGAAAATTTTTTTAATTGCAGGTGATTGAAGCAAAAGTTATTCCAACTGATATTAGTAAAGATGAAATCGATGATTACTTTGATAATTATGATATTGCTCTCATAACTGTTGAAATAAATTCTTCAGTGTGTTCAATTCCAAAAAAGATCGACAATTTGATAATTAACCGTGTAATAATATCTATAACTATTATGGAGATTGATGGTGTGGAAGTTGTGCAAGCAAAAGTAATTGAAAAAATATTGGAAATCAAACAAATCAGGAAATACATCTCACCTTCATCTGACGAATTTAGCAACTATTATCAAATCGTTAAACACCATCATCATCGTTCACCTTGTAAAAATATTATTGCTATGTAGACCACTGGTGTTGTTCAAAATTCACAAAAGTTTTATTGACTTCAACCTTGCTCACTTTTATATCCACTATATTCTATATAATCGTTGTTCGGTATCGACCTCTTATCAAAATTTACTTTTTCAAAATTAAGAAAAAAGAATTCTCGTAGAAGAATATCAACCACAATAATTGTTAAAAGAAATAATCCTTCTTTACCATTTCCTCGACATTTTCTCCCCGATATATGTATAAATACACACACTCAAACAATGTATAAAACATTTTTCCTTTTTTTGTATAAAAAATTTTTCAGGAAGAATAACAATAAATCTTTATATATAAGTTTTTTTTTATGAATTATAATTAATCATCATCGTTATGTGTTATATGTAACATAATGCAATCAATTACTGTACATTCGGACATTTTTTTATTAATTATTTTAAAACTATCTTTAAATTTAGGTTCAAAATTATACTGAGTTCGTTAGAAATAACATTATTTTCTTTATGAAAATAAAAATATATTAAAGGTGCCTTCTTAGCAGGGCTGGAAATAGTAATTTAAAAATTCGGAACTTCCGGAATGCGAATTTGACTGATCGATAAACCCGTAATTCCGGAGTGAAATTATCTATTTTATATTATTATTTTTATTTTATTTTCTATTTATTTATTTTATCTATTTTATTTATTTTATCTATTTTAATTTGATATTCTTTAATTAGTTATGAACTCGTGTTACATTTCGCAGATTTAATTTGTAACATGTTAACGTTAGACCTTTATTTAGTAGAAATTAACGAAGATTGGGCTATATACGTATACCAGACCAGGAGGAATATCCCAACCTGGGCTAAATATCCCAAATTGGGATACATATAATCCAACATGTATATAAGGAACAAGAATTCGCTGTAGTCGAAGAATAACTTTGTAACAAATTAACTTAATACAAAATTAAAATAAACCATTTTTATCAAATCACTAAAACAAAAATTATCCGCTAATAAATCTAATTCGTTAGTATTAGCCTATTCATTCTGATCCACATAAACTAATAAAAATTTGTTAACATCAATTAAAACACGCTCTCCTAAAATTAATTGGTGACAATAGCAAAATTATTAATTATATAATTATTTATTATCTTACTATATATTTACCTAACATTTTTTTCTATGTAATGCTTGATAAAAAATTTTTTTTCTGATTCATTATCACTATATAGTCAAATAAAGACGGTGGTGGTGATGTACTGCTAGTAGTAGTTCTTAATTAAAAGAGAAAACGTGTGTCAATTTTTAGTATTTAAAATATAGCTAAAGAATAGAATTTTATTAAAACAAGTTCCCTATGCAAAGTTTTCACACTTAAAACATACTTATTATACCACTAAAACACACTTAATTTAAGTAGGATTTAATTAATGTTTTGAGCATGGAATAAGTATGTTTTAAGCACATTTTGACTATTATGGGGAGACACTTAAAACATTCTCGTTTCTTGCAAATTTAAGTAGAAAATAAGCATGATTTTCTACTTATTTTCCATTTAT